TTATTCACATATATGCAGGCAAACACAAACACACAAGTGATTATCTCTTAACGTTCATATCCTCACGTGTTTCACTTGCCTAATCCGAGTGCTGGCCTTGACATGTCAGATCACAAATGAAATAATAATGTGTTGCAGAAAGTAAAAATATGCTCTGATCACAATACCATGAAACCCAAAATTAATAAAATAAAAAATAAGCAAGATGAAAAATGAAATTATTTTCTATTTAAGAATCAAAGGAAATCTCTCTTAAGGCATAAGATTCAAGGTCAGTTAAGTCAGCTATTTCTACTGTACCAGTGAATAATTAGAACATTTTAAAACAGCACTACTTTAAATAGTACTAAAGTCTTAGGCATAAAACTTTTTAAGAGCAGAATATGTTGCTGAAGTATAAAAGTAGAGTGACAGCAGCAGACAAAAGGGAGTGATGAAAGATATTCAAGGGTTGGAAGAATTAATATTATTAGGAAATAATTCTCAAATTAACCTACAAAGTAAATGCAATTCCAATAAAAATCTTAGCAATCAAGTTTTTTTCACAAATTTAAATTTTAATCGATTTTATGTATAGAACTTTTTGCCTGCGTGTATGTACATGCATCCTGTGAATGCTTGGTGCCTGAGAAAGTCAGGAGAGGTCAGTGGATCCCTTGACATGAGATTGAGTGGTTATGAGCCATCTGTAACGGAACCTGGGTCCTTTGCAAGAGTGACACATGCTCTTAGCTGCCATGCTGTCTCTACAGGCCTTAATGCTAATCTCTTAATCAGTGAAGACAATGTAGAAAACTCAACTAAGACTTAATCAGTGAAGATACAGTACAGACAACTCAACTAAAACTGGGACTGAAGTGAAGACATATACCATCCACATTCCTACTCAATGTTGCACTTGGTAACTGCCAGAGCAATTGGATAATCACTTGGGAGTCTAAGAATTGGTAAAGAAATAAACTTATCTTGACTTCTAAGTGAAGTAACTGAGAGTAAAATTAACTCAATTTAGTATGTAGACAGAATATAAAATTAACCTATAAAACTTTATTGTCTGTATAAACATTAACAGCTAGAAGCCAAAAACAAAAGAGAAAATACACTCAAAACAAGGATTAAATACTTAGAAAAATATTAACGCTTTAGAGAGAAGAAAAAAAAAAAAAAACAACTCAGGGGCCATCAAGGTAGCTTAGTCACTAAAGACGCATGTGCCACATGCTTTACAAAAAAGGCAAAAAACTGGTCCAGTAAGTGGGGAAGCATTTCTGTTCTCAGAAAAAACAACGCTAGAGACTTGCTTCTCTCTAAGCTAAATTAATGCAGTTGATTCAAGGAAGCTATAGAGTGGGAAATATCAATATGTTTCCTTTCTTGGACACCAACTGCACTGACAGGTCAGTCTAATAATTTGAAAATCTAGAGCTTTCTGAAGACTTGCAACTTGCAGAGGAAGATTCCAGTTGTAAATAATAGTTAATTGTGCGGCACCTCTTCCAACAGTAGTAGTCAAAGTCTCACTGCAGGTTCCGTTCTATCCCAGGAAGTACATTCACCACAGTGGTGAATATAATCCCTTGCCCAAATATAGGAAATCTGTACCTTAATTATTGACTGTTGCCTCTGATCCAAAAGGTACAAAGAAACAGGTAGTTAATGTTCCTTTTTTAAATGGAATCATTTCCAGGGAACTCTGTGCCCAGACTTTTAATTAAGTCTCTATTTTACATTTGTTCAACTTTTGGGAGACAGATAGTAAAGGCCAGAACATTTAAAAGCAGATGTCTAGATACAAGTTTGTGAGGTCCCTATAATCCTGGTACTCAGGAGACTGAGGCAAGAGGATCATGAGATCAAGAAACACACAGAAAGATTTTATCTTAAAAAAAAAAAAATAGATACAGGGCTGGAGAGATAGCTCGGCAGTTAAAGCATTAGAGAACACAGCTTCAATTCCCAGCACCTACATGGCAACTCATAACCATCTATAACTCTGGCTTTATGGGATAGAAAGCCTTCTTCTGACTTTCATAGGCACCAGGCACACACCCACAAACATATATACAGATAAAAACATAAAATAAAATAAAATCTTAAAAACAAACAAACAAACAAACAAAAAAAAAAACAACTTAAAAATTAAAGAGGCCAGAAAGCAGTGGATGGATATAGTTAATACACTTTTTAAAATTGAACTAAAAATTCTGTATCCAGCAAGAACAATTCTTCCAAAGGTTTATTTTATAATAAAGTTAATTTTTAATGTTAAAAAAAGGGAGAGAAAATTCCAAATAAAAGTGATGAAGTCTGTAGCCATACCTATGGGGGGGGGGGGGAGAGAATCAAGGGTGACCATTAAATTGGTAAAAGGAAAGCATACAAGATAGTAACTCAAATCCACACAAAAAGGAAGAAAAACAGCAATAACAGCAGATACAGGTGCAATTAAAAAAGCTACCTATTACTGTAATAATAATTTGTAACTATACTTACTAACGGCTTAAAGAGACTACCATTTTAAAATTAGTTTTAAAAATCTAATATTGTAGCATTAGCTTGTAACTCCATAGTTTGTTCTAGTTAATTTAAGAAACTGATTCCCTAGGGGGAAAAAAAAACATGTTTGGGGCTTAAGTAATTATGTAATGTGAACAACAGAAATGAGTGGGATAGAAATTAAAAAGAACAAAGTTTGTGTATGTCTTTGCAATTAAGATGATTTTTAAAAAACAACTAAATACAAAGAGGACAACACTGAAGGGAACATGGGGGTAAATAAAATTTCAAGAGAGAAAATTGCAAAATAACTGGTCCTTCTTTGATCAGTATTTTATAAATGTACACGTATTAAAAGTACCAATCAAAAGGCAGCCACTGATAGAACAGATAAACAATAAGATTCATCTAACTGCTGTCTACAAAGCACTCACTATAAATCCAAAGTATTGAAAAAGGAAAGCATGGGGAAATATACACCATGCAGACAATAAGCAGGCAAGAACCATGGCAAATAAACCAACACTGAACAAAACAGGCTAAACTTTATAAAGTTACAAGAGACGTGAGTGACATTATAAAATGAGAAGTTCAATACACTAAGAATATGTAACAATTAAGAACATTTGGATATGAACAGACCATCAAAGCCTAGAAAGCTGGGCTAAGGAGATGGCTGTCGTCCAATGCTTGCTGCACAAGCATAAAGCCCTGGTCTAGACCTCCAGCACCTCCTACAGCAGCACACACGGCAGCACACTCCTGCAGCTCCAGTGCTGGGAGGAAGACAGCAGATCCTAGAGCTCAGTGATGACCTGGCTGTCCAGCTCCAAGTTCACCGAGAACTTCGTCTTAAAAAATAAGGCGGACAGCAACGAAAGAAGATACCTCAATGTCAAATTGTAGCCACTCACATGTGCAAAATCTCACAGAATTAAAGGGACACTGTTCCAAAACAGCAGAAATTTCAATATTCTATTTTCAGCATGGGAATAATAGGCAGCTCCCTGAAAGGAACTAAATGTAATGCATTCGACTACTAACAGACTGAGATTTGTTTCCTATACCATTCCTATATACCCTCTCCAATAAAAACCAAAGCTCCTTAGAGAAATGGCTAATTATCGAACTGGTGCAAGGAAGGCCAAAGCAAAGTCAGGATCAGCAGTTCTCAACATGTGGGTCACGACCCCATTAGGGTCAAATGACCCTTGCACAGGAGTTGCCTAAGACCAACAGAAAACACAGTATTTATATTATGATTCATAACACTAACAAGATTATAGTTATGAAGTAGCAACAAAATTCATTTTATGGTTGGGGTCACCACAAAATGAGGAACTGCATTACATTAAGGTGTTACAGTATTAGGAAAGATGAGACCACAGTCTTGATCCTATGATTTTGATGATGCTAGAAACTAGGGAAATCCAGATGCAGAAACCCACAGCCAACATTAGGGAAAGCTTGGAGAATCCTACCAAAGATGGGGAGGAAAGATTTAGGGCCAAGGACACCAAAAGAAACCCCACAGAATCAACCAACTGGAGCCCATAAGGGCTCACAGAGACTGAACTGCCAACCAGGAAGCCTACATGGGACTGACCTTGGCCCTATGCATGTATGTTACAGCTGTATAGCCTGATCTTCTGGAACTCCTGAGGAGCTGTCTCTGACTCTGTTGCCTACCTCTGACCTTTTTCCCTAGTGGGTTGCCTTGTCTGGCCTTAATAGGAGAGGAGGGGCCTAGTCTTAAGTCTTACTGAAACTTGACATGCCATGGCTGGTTGATATCCATAGAGGCTGGCCCCTATGGATACTTCTGAAGAGAAGCAGAGGAGGAGTGAATTGGAGGGTAGGAGGGATAAGGGGATGGCTGGGAGGCAAGGAAGGAGGAGAAAAGGAGGCTAGGATGCAAAATAAATAAAATTTAAAAGTAATTAATTAATTAAAAAGAAAAAATAGAGACTTCCTCAGGAAGCAGGGAGAGCCTCTATTAATAAAATCAGAATTCATACTATAACATATTGCAGCTCATAGAAGAAAAGAATCTATGAGTCTACTGTGACTAAAATGATATTTATAAAAGGGAAAGCTCTCAGAATTCCAAATAATGTAGAAGAAATGATGAAAATACATAAGAAAATCACAGTTGGAAAAAGTAACAACTAGTAAGTCAAGAATGGTGAATGGACGCTAAAATTAGTAGAAGAACGTTTAATGAGACTATTTACACAGTCTCAAAATATGATGAAGCCTATGATTATTTATTAAAGAGTGAAAAATAATTTTAGTGGACTAAAGAAAAGCAAGTAAAATGGTAAAATCTAAATAAAGTGAATAGGTTTGATTTATTGTCTGATTTACTGAAATGCTAACTTCTTTGTCTTAATTGTAATACAATTAAAAAACTACATGAAGATCAGATGAAAGGTAGAGAGGAATTTTCTGTGCTACTTTTACAAAATTAAGTCCCCAAAACTATCTTAAAATAAAAAATTAACCTAATACTCTGAAGCTCCCTCCGGGCTGCCTCTTCTGCCATCTGTGAAGCCCGCAGTTTCTCTTCACACTGATCCTTTTCAGACTGCCTCCAGACATCGTGTTCCACTTTCATTTTCTCTAAGTCTGATAATCTGTTCTCAAGTTCGAGCCTAAAACAACAGATGATAATTATGTTAGAAGAACTACAATAAAGATGATATGAAAATACAATGTTTTCACAAAGAAATACAACACAAACTAAGGTACTAAGTACTTACTTTTCATCTTGTAATGCCATGAGCTTCTGGTAACCTTCTTCCTTGGCAGCTTGTACTTTACGTATTAATTCACGATCTTTTTCCACCAAGAGCACTTTATGATGGTCGAGAGTTGACTTGAGAATTTCATTGTCTGACTGCAATCCTAGTATATTTTTTGGGAGAACAATAAAGCTGTATCAATAGTAACATGAAAGTTTAAAACTAACAAGCATGTGAAACCCAGTAAAACAAAAGAACGTGAGAGTGTGTTGAACAGACATTCTTGAAGATCCTTACAGAACATCAGCTCATTAGAACGTTCCCATAATGCAATGAAACAAACTAAAACGCGGAGATTTATTTTATTATCATTTTTAAGCAAATATACAGCGATCACTCAGAAGGCTACAGACAGCTGTTCCTTTGACTCCTGGGAGATAGAGATCTGCTGAGAGGAACACCCAGAGGCTCACTGACTGACTGACTTTCTTTCTTTCTTTCTTTCTTATTCCTTATATTACACTTTATTCAGTTTGATGACTTTACTTCTTATAGGGGTCTGGAGCTGAAGCTCCAGGATATTCATAAACTAGATGGTAACAATAAATTAAAAAAAAAAAATCTGAATCCTTCAAAAAATAACCTAGCATTCTAGCAAATATGCTACATTTCTAACAAAAATATAAATAATAACATTTTCAAGGTTATTGAAAGAATTCTCAGATCATGGAATAAATATTTTAGAGATGAGTAACTACAGCAAAATTATATTTAACCTTTAAAAGTGCAATATAACAATAGATCCCAAACACTAAAATTTTAAAAAAAGCTCTCAACTCTGATAACATATAGAAATAGTCAAAACAATCATTAAAAAAAAATTAACTCATCCGGAAACAGAGGTCAACTCAATCTCAGCCAAAGGGTAGATTTTTAAAGTATTTAAGAAAGAAACTTAACCTCTGCGAAATCTTGCTGAGGCATTTTAAGACTAAAATGGAGCTATAAAGTAAGCCCACACTGAATAATGATTCAATAACTAACCTAGGATTTACAGCAAAAACAAGCAAACGAAAATTATGACTGGCATCTACCTCTTTACATTCTTTAGCTAATAACCAGATGATCTACAAGCACTTAAAATTATAAACACATGATGGACAAGCTCACATTTGCAATGTTTTTAATTCTCACAGTAATCAAGAATTATTGTATAAACATAAGAGTTCATTAAAGAAAGATTACAGAATGAACAAATCATTCAAAATAATAAAATGGTCCCTATATACTCTAAGATTAAAATTCTATTAGGTTGTTCTATTTTAATAATTTGAATTTAGACCTGAAAATAACAGAGAAAAACATGGGAAATTATATATTACCATCCAGTTCACTTTGGATCTTATTCCTTTCTCTTTCTAGCTCACTCTTAGCTCTTGCTGCCTCCAGTTTGATGTCAGTTATTTCTAGTTTGTTTGAATGTTTAAGCTCTTTCACCTGTTGGTCATTAGAAATTGAAATTATTATTGGGTCATTTTCTTATCATTCAGTACATACTTAAAAGTATAGGCAGAAATGAGAATAATCTGGTAGTACAGAGTTTAAGTACCTCCCAAGAAAGTACCCCAGGACCCAGAACAGCTCATCACTTGAGTCCAAACAAAAGTTATTCTTTTCCTAATAGAATTAAGGCATTTATTGACAAATACTTGGGTGGAGTCACCAGGGATTGACCTTGCCTTAAAAATCCTAACTGTGCACATCTAACATCTACTGATAATTCAGAACATTTCAGGCGGAAAAAATGTTAAAACTTTACTTTTAAAAAAGAAAAACCAGTTGGGCATAGTGGCACATGCCTCTAATTTTAATCAGTACTCAGGAGGCAGAGGTAGACATCTGGAAGTTCAGATCATCCAAGGCTACTTGAGTGGATCTAATTTCAGAAAACAAAAAGGTGGCAAAACCGGAAAGGCATTCTAAGTAGTAGGGTCAGCATATAAAAAGCTACTAGGAATAACGTCATCTAATCTGCTCTTTAAACAATGAGCAAATTAAAATAGAGCATAGGAAGAATTAAAAATCTGTGAGAGGATGGCAGGCAATAAAAGTTATTATTGTCATAGAGTTACTATTGCTATGATGAAACACCATGACCAAGAGGAAAGGGTTTATTTGGCTTACACTTTCACATCCTAGCCCATCATCAAGGAAGTCAGGACAGACTCTCAAACAAGGCAGAACCTGGAGGCAGACGCTGATACAGAGGCCAGAGGAGAGTGCTGCTTACTACTTTGCTGCTCATGACCTGCTGGGCCTGCTTTTCATAGAACCCAGGACCACCAGCCCAGGAATTGACACCTCCCACCAACTCTTAGATGACTTCAGCTTGTGTCAAGTTAATATAAAACTATCTGGCATACTGCTCAAAATAGCTGCTCGGCTATTTAAGGTAGAATAATTAATTTTGTTTACAAAGGTAACTATAATTTAAAAATGGGTTTGCCTAAGAAATAAAAGCAGCCAGATGGTGGTGGTGCATGCCTTTAATCCCAGCACTTGTGAGGCAGAGGAAGGACTTGTGAGTTCGAGGTAAGCCTAGTCTAGAGAGTGAGTTTCAGGACATCCAGAGAAACCCTTTCTTGGAAAAGAAAAAGAAAGAAAGAAAGAAGAAAGGAAGTCAGCTCACAGCAAAAGAATTAATAAAAGAAGCCAAAAAAGGACCAACTGAACTTGGAAAGTAAATAAAATGTGTTTACATATGTGTATACATGTAGAAGGGGATGAATACAAAGCATGTAAGTCCTTTATTACAAAATCTACTTCTTCTAAAGCCCCAGATGAATGTAAACAATTTTCAATACTTTCCATATAACTAATCTATTATGTATCATTTTTTTTTATAGTTTAAATATTCCTAGCAAATAATTCAGATCTAAGCACCCACATAAATAGCTGGACACGGCAAGATGCATTGGTACTTTAGAGCTGGGAGACAGGAACAGGTGATCCCTGGAGCTGGCTAGGGGCTGGCCAGTCTAGCTGAATCAGTGAGCTCCAGGACCTGATAAATAAGGGACGCAGTGATGCTAGAGAGGTAGCCTGGAGGGTATGAGCACCGGCTGCACGTCCAGAAGACCCTGGCCGAGGTCCGAGAACTCACATGCTCAACTGTCTATAACTCTAGTCCTAGGAAATCTGATGGCCTCTTCTGACCTCTGTAGGCATCAGGCACACATGCTGTGCACAGACATACATAGAAGCAAAACACCCATATGCAGAAAAATTATTTTCAAAAAAATTAATTCTTTAAAAAACTAATCATAAAATGTAATAAACAAGAACTTAGAAAAGACACCTTAATATTGAACCCTAGGCTCTCCACACACATGTGCACATACACCACAAAGATGAACACACACACAAGGGCCAGGTACGGGTTTACTTATGCTGTTGTTTATAAATATATAGATCTTAAGTTTGGTGCCATACTTAAAATAATGAATTTACTTACAGAACTGGTAATTATTAAATTTCTAAGATGTGTTTTACATCTAAACTATAAAAACTCTAAGAGCAATATTGAAAACATGAAAATGAGTAATGAAGAACTAGTTTAATGAGTAAACTGTTTGCCTTACAAGCATGAAGACCAGAGTGCAGGTCCCCAGGACCTCAGAAATAAAAATTGTGTGGCATGGCAGTAATTCCAGAGCTGGGGAGGCAGAGATAGACAGATGTCTAGGAGACAGTGTCAGGAGACTAGACAAATCAGCAGCAGCTAGGAAGCTTGTCTCAGAAGATAAGGTGGACAACAAGTGAGGATGACACCTGACCATCATGACCTGTCCTCCATACTCTAACATGCACAAAAATGACAAGGTCAAATCCTGTAATTTCTTATATCCCTAATTTGGAAGCTAATGCTTCCAAACACCTAAGAAACCTAGAAAGCTAACTTTCAAGAGCTCTATGGCCTCGTTAGCCTCTCTCCCAAGCTAAAGCACTGTCTATTGAGACAGTGTTTGCCAGTCTGTCCTTTATATTGTGGTTTGTTCTACACTTGACACCATAGAAGCAAATATTCAGATACCTGTACTAAAACAGAATTTTAAATAGCAGTATCAGGCATTTAATAAATGCTCAAAATCTGTTAATGTACACAAATCTATGAACATAAAATGAGAGAGGGCTGGTGTCTGTGGCTACTTCAGTTATGAGCACCCACATGACGGTTCATAACTTCCCGTAACTCCACATCCAGGGAATCCAAATTCTCTTTCTGACATCCATAGGCACAAGGCACAAATATGATACATATACATACATGCAGACAAACATCCATACATCTAAAACAAGTAAACCTTAAATGTTTAAAAACAAAGCAAAAACCTGAGAAAACACTATACAGGACCAATACAGTTTTTTTTAAAAAAAGGTGTTATGCCAGAAGCACTGGCTATAAAGTTCATAGAGATAATACTTAAATTCTGGCTTTTTCTAAATTAGGAGATGGTACAACTTCCTTTACTTAGCTAAATAATCACAATTCTGAGGGATGATTTTCTATAACTAACTTAGATTTTTTAAGACTGAAAAACCCCATGGAGCAACTGAATGTTCCTCACTGGATGTGAACTATCACTAAAGACATCCTCTTCAGGCCATCTATGATAATACCTTTAATCTGAGCCACTGATACTGGCATAGCCTTGTTCTAAGGCCTAACATTTACAAATTTAAATAACTTAGTTAAACATACCCCCAGGTGTTTCTTTGCATTGCAAACAGCCATTTGCTAGGATTGCAAAATGTTGATGAAAATTTCAAGTTGTAAAGAAAACTGTGACACACATTAGAAATATTTTAAAAAGCATCCTTCCTGCAATCCTTTTACATATAAAATTTCTGAGAAACTTGCTTTGTCTAGAGTTGAAGATGTATTGAATACTGCATTTACATGCAAACTACTTCAAGTATGCCTTAAAAAACATGCGAGCACATAGAAATAATACCAAAATGCTGTTTTCCTTCAGTGGAATAAGAGACTCCATTTATTCTCTAACTTGCAAAAAGGAAGAACAATAGTGAAGGGAGTATGTACAGAACACAGAAGAGAAGGTCAGTACACAGGTGAGCCACAGGACTAGGGGAAAAAAAAAAAAAAAGCCCCACCTCCACACACATTGAAAGAGGTAGAAGCCACCAGCAAAGCCGTGCGCGTCCCATGTCCTATTGCTACATTTACAGTTCCAGTTATTTCGGGAACCCAGTCGATACTTAAATATTATAAAGGACTTGAAGAAAAGCTTAAGAATTTCCTATATCCTGAATTTATGGTGTTTTATATGTTTTGATTGGAGGGGGGATGTTGAAATTTTGCTAAATTTTTATCACTGTAGATATTTCATCAATATCTGCTGACCTGAATCATGAAAAAACAAACAAACAAACAAAAAACAGAACAGAACAGGTTAGGAAAACAAAGAATAAGGCAGAAGAGGGAAAATACTATTTTACTATTTTGAAGACAAGGAAGGCAGGCCTTATGTAGGTTGTAACCACAGAAAGGAAAGAAGCAAGACATGTAAATATGTGAGGGATGTTCATGGCAGGCACAAGCACCTGTGAGAGCAAACTTTTTCAAAGAAAGTTAGTGAGAGAGGAGTGAAGAGATTAGGAAGGGAAATGGATGCTAATGGCCAAAGAAGAACTAAAGAAGCCAGGTCCTACAGAGCTCCACATGGGTAGAGAAAACAAAAACCAGTTAGAAACCTATCACAGTTAAAACATAAAATGATAGGATAAAAAAAAAGTCAGTAAGAGACAAATTCAAACAGCAAACTTTTGTATCACAGCAATTTCAAGCTCTCTAGATGAAGCACAGTACAGCAACTCACTTCACTGGTCAGCGCACTTATTTCTCGGTCAGCTTTATGCAATTTGCTGAGTAAACAAGTGTTTTGTTCATCGCTTGATTGTAGCTCTTTTTCTAAGCGTTCAGCCTGTAGCTTAGCTGACTGCTTTTCAGCCTTCAAGACAAAAGATTTTAAAATTTATCCATAATACCTCACATTATATTAAAAATGAGCATTATTTAAATAAAATGTATGTATAATCAAACACAGAATATAATTATTCAGAACTTAAGCAACACTAACATGTTCCAAAGCAAGCTTTCTCAAACTGACCTGTAAAATTCAAATCCACTTCTTTTAGGAGAGAAGTATTCACAGTACTCATCGGATATCTCAATAACATTTTTAGACATTCTAGCTCACAACAGTTATGAAAAAGCATTTTAGAAGGCAGCAAAGAGGAGGCTAATAAGTCCCAGAAAGTGGGTAAAGGAGCTTGCTGACAGGCCTGATGAGGTCACCTGAGTCAGATCCCCAGGACCTAAGTGGTGGAAGGCAAGGACCAACCCCCATTAGCTATCCTCTGACTGCCACACATGTGCGGTGACACACAGGCACTCACACACAAGTAATAATAAATATTGTATCTCATTTATTCATAAAATAATTGAAAATCTATAATCAATGGAGAAATTTTTTTCCAAATGAAGAGATAAAGACAAAATCTAAAAGTTCTCAACTGTCCTGGAGGCCTTCTGAAGTACAGCAAAGAAGCCTCTGACCCTACCCCACAATTAAGATTCTTACTCAAGTCTCTAAAGCGGCAGAAATTTCCTCAAAGTGATATTCAAAGTACTCTTACAAAAGAGGAAAAACTAAAAACATTTCTACTGAAGATAAATAACATAAGTGTACTTGGAAAAAAATAAAATCATTTAAACATTTCTACTCAACATAAATAACATGAGAATGCTTTTTGCACTTAGAGGATAAACCTCAGGTTTGTAAATTCTACACATGTTTACTGTCCTAAATAAGGAAGGACTGTACTCAGCATACAACTCAGAGAACTACTACTTTCTTCAAATATTCTTTGTGTACAACAACAACCAAGAAATGCTGGAGAAAATATTTGCTGTCATGTATTTATTTCATTTTATTTGACAAATGATAAAAATTTCTCTTCTGAAAAATGTCACAAATGAGCCATCTGTCTTTTGTCATCATTCAACTGATCCTGAAAATAATCACTCTAGATGTCCTTGGTCAAAATTCACATTGGAACCATACACTATATTCAACTGCAAATAACCCTCTTACTCTATAACTGTGCAAATATATTAAGGACTGCAAAATGATAACTTAAACTATCTCAGTGTAAATTGGCTTATGTCTAAGGTCCAATAATGCTGACAAATTTAATTCTGGAAATCAACTAGTACTGACAAAAACTTCACCCTCCCCCGACCCAAAAAAGTGACTTCTACGCTTCCAAAGTTACTAACACATTCCATGTACAAGCTGATAGCCCACCATTATTTCATATTTTGACACCTCGGGTTTTTTTGTATTGTTTTTTGTTTTTTTGAGACAGGGTTTCTCTGTGTAGCCTTGGTTGTCCTAGACAACCAAGAGGTATAAGCATATGTGAACACGATGGAACCAAGTTTTTGTAAGTTATTCCTCCAGAAGTCCCAGGGTGGCTCAGGAAGCACTGTTCTTTCTCTAATGAACTCAGGGAAATAATTCCATAAGGATTTGTATGCATTGGTAAGTAGCTAACTTTATCACCTTGGCTGGAAGCTGTTGTAAGCTATGTGTAATATATTATGTCTGCTCAAATAGGATTTATGATTTTAAGATTAGAAATCCTTGTATAAGGAATTTATGATTGCAAAATAATTACTGTTTTCAGATGGCTGTAGTCTTAAAATTTGGGGGGAAATGCTCTGTGACATTTTAAAACTTAAGTCATTTCCCTTAGATGAAGTCTCCCAAAGAACGAACATCCCGTCATAAATGTAGTGGCACAGCCACTGCTGACAAATCAAAACCGTTCTTCACATGCGCACTTGGGAGCACACAAACGTCGGCATGACATCAGCAAGCACGTATTCATGTTCTAAAAACCAAAAGCGTGTCAAGTGCACTTTTAAAATGCATGCCATACTCTACCGGGAAGCAATTAAAACCTTACCTCCAAGGATCTGAGTGTAGCCTGCATCTCAGCCAACTGCCTCACCTGTATTCTTTGGACATTTTCTACCTGAGCACCAGAATTCTCTTTCTCAGCCCTTAATTCTGCTACTTCAGTCTCTAAACCTTTCAGTTTTTGAAGCAAATGGGTTTTTTCTCGAACAAGTTGCTCCACTCGTTTGCTGTCTCTTGTGGGATCAACACTAAGCAGCTGGTTATGTAGTTCCTCTTTATCCTTCTCCAGTCGTGCAACCTAACAATTTGAGAGGAAGCATACAAGCTCTAAATTATTGAATTTTCAGTCATGAACATGCTTTACAAGTCAGTAAATTAAAATTGAAAATTGCACAACATGAAAGCTCAGGTGCGGAAATGAAGTAAAAAGGAAAAAACTCTAAAATGTCACGTTCTTCACTCTGTACTCAGCATGACTCAATTTTAAGGGCAAGAAGGGTGTCCTATTTTCCCTCTCTCCTCCCAGTGTATAGCACAGGGCTTAATCAGTTGCTGACTAAAATTCAAAATTGTAAATACTACTATAAAATAATTATTTAAAATAATAAACTTCACAAGCTCATGACAGGAATTCATGCAAGGCCAATTCAATGACCACTCCTAAATTTCTCCTTGCATGACAGTTACTTCTTTGGCTATGTGTAGGCTAATAAATCATCTGTTTGAAAGCAACTAATTCACACAAAATCTGAATAAATAAATACAAATGCAGTCAATAAACTTTGAAAATGATGGCCAAACTTATTAAAGTCCTAACTGTAATTATAGCCCAGGTCTTATTTCTCATGTTCACTATTCCAGGGTATATTACAGTCACTGAGGAACTCAAAGAGGCAAGACAGAAGTAGAAGTCTTTTTCATAACAACTTTTCCTTGCCAGGTACCACATGCCTCCAAATTGAGTGGGCTCTAAGTGGTTTCTTAGCACCTGAAGCATTTCGGAAGCCCCTTGCTGCTGAAGATTAAGAGACCAAGCACTGAGAATAGAACCTCAACCCCTTTGGTGACCCTCCTAGATTTTTATAACTTATCATCACATCTACTGTTAACTCTTATTTCCTTTTTCATTTTAATTTTTATTTTCTTCTGTGTGGTTTCAGGTATTGAACCCAGGGCCTTGACCAAAATACATCAGTGTTCTACACTGAGGTACAAATCTAGCTTTGTCAGCAATTCTCTATTTCCTCTTCTATATTGGGGTTACCCTTATTATTCAATTGAATCACTATAAATACAAGACAAATGGCTGTATCTAGCCAAAATGAACACTAAAGGCTCAATCTAAGTCAAAAGGATTCTAAAGGAAATCTCTGGGACATAAAGAAAGCTGGTAGAGCTCTCAATGAAGCAAAAACTATGAGGCTTCCCACAGCCTGTTTCCTCATCTTCAAATTGCCAAGGGAGGCTCTCTCTCTGATCTTATTCAGCACTACAATTTAGGGATTTTAAGTTTGACTCTGTACATGATGGATATAAAAGATATTACCAGGGCATAAAGATGGAGATACTCTGCATGTAAACATATTTTTTCCAGAAAATAAAACTCATCCATAAAGGTAAACATTCAAAGTCCAAGTAAGGGCTCAGTGATGTATGACTCCCTTAGTCTGCACAAGACCCCACCAGCACTGTGCCCTTTTCCCCGCAAATACACAGAAAAGAGCACAACTAATTCCTCTCTCTCCTGTTCCGTCCCCCATCTTCTATGTAGAACAATTCTCCCTCAGGTTTGTTCTTGGGCTACATTTATTCTTCATTTTTTTTTCTTTCTTCAACTAACTATATGACTTTGAATTAAGTCACATTATTTTTAACTTTTTAAGAATTTCATACATAAACACATTGTTAGTTACATCATTTTCATTCCTCCTTATCTCCTCTCCAACTCCTGTGGTCTCCCTTATCCTCTCTCAAACTCATGACCTCCTTTTCTAATTATTGTTTCTATGAAAATTGTAGGTATACAGACACATACACACATACCCTACTGAGTCCAGACACTGCTGCCCATATGAACATGTTTGCAGGACTGACCACTTAGAATTGGGAACTTACCAGAGGTCTACTATATCTGGAGAAAACAGATTCTCTCTGCTTCAGCAGCCACTGACTGCTTACGGTTCATTTAAAGGGTGGAACCTTGAGAAAGTTTCCCACATCTACTCTGGCATGTTGAGTGGTATAGTGTTATGCAGGGAAGCTATTGTTGGGAGTTCATGGATGCAGCACCCCTGATATGTCTAGAAGACACTTTCTCACAGCAATTGTCCTGGTTCTGCCTCTTACAACTTTTCCGGCCCCTTTTCTATGATGTTCTGTGAGCTTTAGGTACAGACTGTGCTGTAGATGTTCCAACCAGGGCTGTGCACCCTAGTTACATACTCTACATTTTGACCAGTTTTGATTTCTGAAGCATCCTCCATCTCCTACAGAAGAAGCTTCTTTGATGAAGGATTAGAGACATACTTCGCCATGGGCCTAAAAATAGGTATTTAGAATAGTTGAAAGCTACCTTAATTTAGAAAGATATCAGTAGTAGGGTCCCCTCTAGGGTCTATAATCTTTCCATGGGGTCTTGGCTGGGCTTACAGAACCAGGCATGTGTTTGCCCATATTAAGAGGCCGTCAAGTCCAATTAGACAACTGCTGGTTTCCCCAGGATGTAAGTGGCACTATTGCACTGTTGTGGTATCCTGCCAGGCCAGAGATTATTGTGGTTCACAGGTTTTACAGCTGAGTAGGACTGTTGATTACTTTTATCCCTTGTCAGCTTGCAGAGCACCTTAAAATACCATGAGAGTTAGTCCTCAGGGAAGAGCCTTCCAGGTCAGTTCCCGCCTGATTCCTCAAGGCCTGTGACAAAAACATGTGGTGTCTTCAGCAATGGGGCCCTCCTTTCAAGATCTAGAAGGCAATCAAGGGCAATGGTGCTAGCCTATATTGCTTTAGGTTTTCTTGGACACCCTGGTAAGTCATTATTTTTATCCCAGCTTCAGTTTAAATGAAGGGCTTGGGCTAGGTAATTTTTAGTAATTTATTGATTTGTATTTTATATACATTGGTGTTCTGCCTGTATGTATAACTGTGTGAGGGTGTTGGATCCCCTAGGAAAGAAGTTACGGTTGTGAGCTGCTATGTGGGTCCTAGGAATTGAACCCAGTGACCTTAACCACTGAATCATCTCTCTAGCCCAACACTGGGTTGTTTTTAAGATTCTGTTTAACATTAGTATAAGATAACTCAAACACATGTTTTGTTTGGACAGTAGTGGGGCCTGAACACAGGAACATGAACTTGGTAAAGTAGCACTTTATCACTAAGCTACACCCTCAGCTGCAAAGTTTTCATATGCTATTTTTAGTGGTCAGGCAGCTCATCTAGATGAGGACGAGGAACAACAGAGGTTTAGAGACAACGGTGCCCTCAAGCAGGATACAAAGTCAGCAGTGCTTTTGCAGTGCCCATTTTAAATACAAGACCACACAGCTAATACTTGAGAGGCCCCTGTATGCCACTAGCAATGGTAGCTGAAGCAATGACAACAAGTGACAGTCAAGATTAGATTCTGTATCTATAATTCCTCAACCAGAATTCACTATCAAAAGCCCTTCCTACCCAAACTGGTGATCACTGTTTTCTAGTTACTAAACTCATGAATCATTTGCATAGTAGATACTAAGTACTTTGCATCCAGCACTATTTGGGTAGTAAAGATATGTACAGCTCAGCAGAGATGCAACACAAAACCTGTGCAGCTGAGGAGATTATTATATTCAATCACTGCCATAGCAACACCCCTGGCTCATTCATCTGAGCACAGATTTTGGACACATCCTCAGCTCTTCCTTTTTCTTCCTCTTTTAATCAGATTCACATGTCATTTTCCTTGATGTCCTTCATTTGTTTTGATCTTACTTCTTCCTCTCAATTTCCAAAGGTCTTTCTCTAATTTCTCTTCTTTGACATCTATTCAAATCTGCCTGTACTGCAGTTACATTCACATTTACTTTATTCTCTTCTAGAATAAAAACTTGCCTGACAGGTAAGACAATGTTTGGTATTAACCAATTTTGCTTTTCTAAAAGGTTAAGTAGAAGAAATGGACAGAAGCATGTCAGGGATTACCAAGAGTAGCTGGCTTCTTTTTCAAAGGACAATAGTATCACTCCAATTCTGGAGGCACACATAAGAAAAGGCAGTGTACCTAACTGCTCTATCCATCTTTGTTTTTATTGCTTTTACGGTGTGGCACAGAGAGACAGGTAAGCAAACAGGCTCTACAATCAAGCACTTAGGTTATGATTGTCAGTATTTTAAAGCTACTTCTATATATCCTTGTGGCTTTTAAGAATGTTGTCACTCTTACCTCTCTGTAAACAATGTCCTTCTAATTCTTGTTTCATTTGTTTGAAACAAGATCATACTATATAGGCCAGGACGAGAGGGGGTTTCTTTGTGTAGCTCTGGCTGTCCTGGACTCGCTTTGTAGACCAGGCCGGCCTTGAACTCATAGAGATCCGACTATCTCTGCCTCTATGAGTCCTGGGACTACAGGTAAGCACTATTGCACCCAGCTAAATATTTTCTTTCTTAATTATGTGTATAGGTATGTGTCTGTGTGTGGGTATGTGCATTGGAATACAGGTGCTGGTCCACAAAGGCCAAAAGAAGGTGTCAAGTCCCATGGAGCTGGAGTCACAGGCAGTAGTGATCCACCTAATATGGTTCCTGGGGACCAGACTCAGGTTTTTTTATAAGAGCAGTACACTCTTACTTACTGAGCCCAGCCTCTCCCCTCAAACTCTTAATCACCCTGACTCAGCCTCCTTTGTGATTATAAGCATGTATCATCATGCCCAGCTTAGTGTTTTTTAAATAAAATCCTTTATTGTCAGATAACAATATAGTATCTGTCATTTCAGTGTTGGCATCGATTGCTATCTAGTTTTAGAACTTTCTTGGTTTTGATATGAGACAAATAATTTTCAATTGAATCTTGAAAACAGTCTAGAAATGGTCTTTTAGTTTGCTTCTTAAGAAGTTACGGTTGCAAGGAAAGTGTAGGCACCTCCCTATCACTGCAACATGGTAATGCTTGCACTACACCATCCGCCTCTGATGAAAGGCAAGCAGGTAATGGCAGAGCATCTCACCACTGCCTGGCACCCTGCATCGCCATCCACAGCACGAAGCCAGAGTGTGGGAGTACCTTACTACTCAGAGGAACTATCGTTGCAT